TAATTGCTGGACATGTTGGGTTAAGGTGTTGATGTTAGTTCTTTCTGCTTTCCTGATAAAAACTGCCCTCTGAGCACTACTTTTGCTGTGCCCCAAATATTTTGGTATGTTATATTTTCATTCTCATTTGATTCAAGGACTTTTTTCATTTCTTCAATTACTTAGTAAAATTTGAGGAGGGGGTTATACACTGTCCATGTGTTTGCTTTTTTCCCCCTCCCTTCGTCTTTCTATTGTTGATTTCTAATTTTATAGCATTGTGATCTGAGAAGATGCTTTGCAGTATTTTGATGTTTTAAAATTTATCAAGGCTTGCTTTGTGGCCTAACATATAGTCTAATCTGTTGAATGTTACATGTGCAGTGGAAAAGAATGTACATTGTGCTGTTGTTGGATGGAGTGTTCTGTATACGTCTATCAGGTCTAGTTGGTTGATTATATTGCTTAGATCTTCTGTATTTTTGTTGAGTTTCTTTCCAGTTGTTTTTCTTTATAGAAAGTGGTATATTAAAATCTCCTACTATTATTGTGGAGCTGTCTATTTTTCTTTTCAATTCTGTTAACTTTTATGTATATTTGGCTTTTTTTTTCATTGGTTATGCATTTATTATGGCTTTCTCCTCTTGTTGGATTGTCCATTTAATCATTATATAATGTCCTTCTTTGTCTCTTTTGCTGCTTTTTGCCTTAAAGTCTATTTTATCAGAAATTAATACAGCCACTCCTGCTCTTTTTTGATTGCCATTTGGTTGATGTTTTTTCAACTTCTGATTTTTAGCTTGTTTTGTCTTTGTGTCTATGCTGTGTCTCTTGCAGACAGCATATTGATGGCTCATGTTTTCATATCCATTCTGCAACTGTCTCATGATTGGTGCATTTAATCTACTTATATTCAGTGTAATTATCACCAAGCATACATTTATTGCTGTTATTTTGTTGTGTTTTTTTTTTTTTTTTGTAATGCTGCTGACTTCTTTGTTCTGTATAATTTTCTATGCTCAGCTCATTCCATATAATTTCCTTCTAAGCTATAGTTTTAGTGTCTGTTAAATGTTTATGACTTTCCTCTTATTTTGATGTGAAGGACTATCAATTTTCTCTGAGGTCACACTGTAATTTATTGTTTTCTTCTCAAGTTTAAAACAGTCCATTCTATCTTGAAGTCATCTTGATTTCCCATCTGTTCACAAATTTTACAATTATACTATTTATTCACTATTTTTGCTTTGTAGTTGTCCTCATTTTCTGGTTCTCTGTTTTCAGTCTTGTAGGTTTATTTTACTTTGGATACTTCTATATCTGGGTTGGCTTCTCGGTGATATTCAGGTGTGTCAATCTCACTTTGTTTTCTGCTGTTTCAGCTCTCTGTACAAAGGACTCCCTTTAGAGTTGTGATGGTTATGTTTATATGTCAACTTGGCTAGGCCTGGTTGAGTGGCTGGGCAGCTGGATGTAGTATTCCCCATGATGAGACTGGTAATCTAGCCCATGGTGGAATCTACTGGGAGCAGCTGAGTAGCTGCCTTTGGGTATGTGGTCTGCTTCCTGTATATAAGAAGAAGCTTTGAGAATGGTCTCTAGCCTATGGCATGCTTGGACCCTGCATGTAGCTGTGTCATTGCTCAGCAGTCTGCTACGCTCTGCCAACCCTGGCACTTACAATGGACTTAAGTTAATGGCCTGCCATGTGGATTGGTAATATCGGAACTGTGCCTTTTTACTTGTCAATCTTGGGGCTTCTCAGCCTCAGCAGCTGTCTGAGTGAAGAAAGGCCTCTAGCTCCAGTGGGCCAGGAGCAGGAGGTTGAGCTGGACCCCAAGGTTGAGGGGCTTTCACCCAGCCCCTAGAGCCTGGCACTTTGAACTTGGACTTAAAGCTTCCAAATTGTAAGAATAAACTCCTGTTTGTTAAGGCCATCTCATTTGTGGTATATTCCTGTCAGAGCGGCACTAGGTAACCAGAACAAGAGTCTCTTGTAAAACAAAAAAAACCCATACTCACTGCCGTTGAGTTGGAGCTGACTCATAGCGACCCCTCCTTGGGATTGTGAGGCAGTATCACTATGGAAGTAGATGGCCTCATCTTCCTTCTGGAGAGTGGCTGGTAGGTTTGAATCGCTACCCTTCTGGTTAGCAGTCAAATGCCTTAGGGACTAAGAGTCTCTTGTAAGGTGGTCAGATTTTTACAAATTCCCTTAATTTGTGTTTATCTGGAAATATTCTAATTTTATATCATATTTGAGGTACAGTTTTGCTGAATATATAATTCTTGGTTGGCAATTTTTTTTCTTTCAATGTTTTATATATGCTATTCCATTGCTTTCTTGCCTGCATGGTTGCTGCTGAGAAATCAGAGCTTAGTCTTATTGGTTGCCCTTTGTAGATAACTCTTCATTTTTACCGAGCTGCTTCCAGGATTCTTTGTCTTTGGTTTTGGTAAGTTTGATTATGATATGTCTTGGTGACATTCTTTTGGGGTCTATGGTGTTTTGGGGTGTGTTGAACTTCTTAAATGCATTTCTCTCGTCTTTCATTATATTAAGGAAGTTCTCTTCCAACAAAGCTTTGATGCTTTTCTCTGTGGTTTTATTAGTCTCTTCTTGGTCTGGAATTCCAATTGCACATAAGTTGACGGCATCCCACATAAATATCAGGCCTTCATTTCTTTTTTCATTCATTTTTCCAATTGTTCCTTTATAACAAAGTAGCACTGAAAGATTTGTCTGTTGTCTCTGAGGCACTGTTTCATTGTTATATTTATACTTAATTGGTGATTGTATGTTGGTGTGTTTTACCCAGGTTTTTTTTTTTTTACTGCTCTGTTCACTAGTTTGGCAGCACCTAGGCTCTTATTACCTGTCTTCTGGTATGTGTGGTAAAGGATGAGAATGTGTGCTAAGTTCTCTATTCACTGTTTGTGTAGAGCAGTTGGCAGCTGGTTGGGCTGGTATAGGCCATCATCCATCATTGATCTGTTGGTGCGGAAACAGGTGGTGGTCCTCGCCCAGTGGGTGAGGCTTTCTGGTCACCAGCTACTGATGCTGATGCCAGCATCGACCTTGGCAAGCAGAGCTGATTATTAGCTTGCTGCCCTGATGGAATGCTGCTTGTAAAAATTTAAAACAGCCATGTTGTCAGGCCAGTTGGCAGTTCACAGCTTTGTTTGTCTCCTTATATGCTGTTTTCATTAAACTTTCTTCTTCTAGTTGCTTTTTGATCTTTTCCTTTGATGCTCAGGGTTTCAGGATTATCACTTTAATCTGTTTCATTTGATTTTTCATTTCTTTGGTATGGAGATTCTGGGTAGTTTTTCTGCCTGTTCCACCATCTTGCCAGAAATCCAAAATGTTCTCAATAAAGTCTTTTATATATGTACCAAGAGCCCTTAAAATAGTTGAAAAAGTCGTTTTGTTCAAACTGGAAAAAAGTTCTACCCATTGTTCTATTATACTGTGGGTTTCCCAAGGACACTTGAACACTCTACTAGTGAATTAATAATTGTAGCAAAAATAATTTTGTTTCTTCTTCCCATGTGTCTAACTAATTTAATAATACAGATATAAATCAGTACTGGCAACAAGAAAGTAATTAACTTTACAAAATTCACCTCCCCCAGGATCAGTCCTAATGTTCAGATTTTGGCAAAACAAGAAAGTAGAGAACTCTATATAAATATTCCCTCAGCATATCTCTTGATGTGATGCACTAAAAGTTGCTAATGTACAAATCAAGGAAAAATATTTAGCAAAGTCATCAATCACCTGGTCACTCTTCTATTACTAAAACCAAAAATCCCAAATCCATTGCCGTCATTTCTAAGGCTGTAAATCTTTATGGAAGCAGAATGCCACATATTTCTCCCATGGAGTGGCTGGTGAGTTCCAACCAATGATCTTTTGGTGAGCAGCCAAGTACTTTAACCATTGTGACAATGGTTGTTACCAAAGTCAACTGTGTAAGTAAGCCCTTTTCCCTTATTTACAACGATTACAATATAAAAATGTTCTCATGACATTTTATGATTGGGGGCTATGGTGGAAAATTCTGAAATCTTTAATAATAACTGGAGACATTACTTTTCTTTAATAGCAGAATGAATGAATGTTTGTAAAACATACAAACAAACAAAAAACACACCCAAAACAAGAGACAACAAAAACCCAAACAAAGGTAAGAGGACCACCTGCTACAGATATGTCAAAGACATTCTATACTGAGTGGACAGTAAGAACAAGAAAGTTTTCAAAGGATTCTTTCAATTTTTTAAGACCCTTAAAAATAGAAATGTAACCAGAAAATTCATAAAATTCCCAATTGTTCTTTTCTGCTGGATGTATCAGGTTTTTAACATGTATACCAAAACCAAACAAAACGCACTGTTGTCGAGTCGGATCCAACTCATAGTGACCCCTCCTTGGGTTTCTGAGGTGGTATCAGTACAGAAGTAGACTGCCCAACTTTCCTTCTGAGGAGTGGCTGGTGGGTTTGAACCTCTAGCCTTCTGGTTAACAGTCAAATGTCTTAGGCACTATGCCACCAGAGCTCCTTTAACATGTATATATGAAAAGAACAAAAGTAAAATCATTTCTAGGAGATATAGCTTTATCATATAATTTTTAAGGCAAACTATACTTTCACATTATTTTAATACTATTATGATCTCTTAGGAAATGAAGAAATATATTCAAAATTGGTCATATGCTTCTGGTTTTCAATTAAGCAGAAGGCAAGTAACAATGTTGATAAAGGTAACAAGTTAATAGATAAAAAACAGAAGCAAAAAAAGAAATACAAAAGCCAAGAAAATTAAGATAATTATATAACAATCATTTGCTTAACTTCCATGTGCTCAAATGGAATTTATATCTTACCTACGCATTTATATCTGTCAGGGACGTTAGAGAACACATGTCCAACACTCAACCTACTACAGACAGAATTGTTTGGTGGGATGTACTGTTAAAGCCATATCCCTGTGCGTTGATGTTGGGCACTGCTCACCTGAGTCACACACAGTAGCAATATCACCTGTAGTTTCACTGGCAGAGACGGCTGTGACAGGGCTTTTGTGTCCAGCCAAACTCTGTACGTAGCACAGCCTAAAAGACAAAAGACACAAATTATATATGATCATTCAACATATACTCTTATTTGTATAATTCCTTCCCTCAGTATATATATTCATAAAGTCATATATGTTTTCCTCCTTTCAATAAGATTCAAATGAAACTCACTGCCGTTGAGTCGATTTGACTCAAGTGACCCCTCCTTGGGTTTCTGAGGTGGTTATCTCTACAGAAGTAGATCGCTCAGTCTCCCTTCTGAGGAGTGCCTGGAGGGTTTGAACCTCCAGCCTTCTAGTTAGCAGTCAAATGCCTTAGGCACTACACCACCAGAGGTAAAATTTGCATTTCATGCTTAACATTATTAAAATATAATGATGCTATAATAGTGCATGTTTCATAAAGTAAGAAATGAAACATTAAAAAGAACTCTTTCTGAGTTGGTGACCTTCTTTACCTGTTTAAATCCCATATAATGCAGGTTCCATCTCTGCTCACACTTATCATTATACTGTATGGTTTGCAAACAAATAGGCTGGTTATCTCTTCTGTGTGCCCATAGAGATGTATCTGGGACTCCATTTCTATCTCTGATGGCTAAAATTTAAAAATTAAGTATAAGATAAAAACCACAACATAAAACATCCTCGAGAACATAGTATTTCAAAATAAAAAAACAAAGTGATTCATATGTTCTTATCAAACATACAGTGTTTCAGTCCAATTTATTTCAACATTTTTAAAGAGTAAAACTAATAAGACACTAATAATTTTTTAAAATTGCCCACAATTTAATCAGCTAATGTCTTTCATTTTTGCCTATTGTCTAGTCTTTGTCTAAACATGCATATATTTTTTATAATAGCATAGGAGCTCTGGTAGTGTAGTGCCTAAGGCACTTGACTACTAACCAGAAGGCTGGCAGTTCAAACCCACCATCCACTCCTCGGAAGGAAGGTTGGGCAATCTACTTCCGTAGTGATATCACCTTTGAAACCCAAGGAGGGGTCGCTATGAGTCAGAATTGACTTAATAGCAGGCCACTAGTTCAAGTCCAGAGACAGTCCAAGATCAGAAGGAAACATGGAAGGCTGCTAAATGAAGACTCGACTACATGCAGGGTCTAAGCATGCCAAAAAGCTGCACAGACATTTCTCAAAACTTCTGCTTATATACTGGAAGCAGACCACATCCCTAAGACAACTACCAGCTGCTCTAGTAGATTCCACCATGGAGTTGATTACCAATCCCATCAAGGGGAATAACTATATCCAGCTGCCCAGATACTAAAAAACAGGCCCTGCCAAGTTGATACATAACTTTAACTACCACACCATTACATAATATGTTCTGTGTATGTATGTATGTGTATGTGTGTATCTGTGCATGTATGTGTACATGTATATATTTGTAGTTAATTCCTCTGCTTGAGGAACAGAATATAGGTACTTTTCCTGTTTCTGCACAATGACTGTGACACCACCAGTCTGGGGCCACTTGACACCAAGGTCAAGTCTTGAGAATCCTGGACCACCCAGGCAATTCCAGTCCAGGCTGTAATTCCACACAAGGTTTGGCACTCATTTGATTCACCTTCACTCTTTAGGGATGTGGCTTGTTGAAGGAGGTTCTCCTGTGGGACTCCCTAGCTTGCTCAGTCCCTAGGTATCATTTTTTTATTCTTCTCACAAGAGGCTGTCCAAGGACAAGACCACTGTTCCAGGACTGATGGAGTACCTTCAGGGCTAAAGCTGCTTCCCTGTTTGTTTATCTCTCTGGCCTGTTATTGTTGTTGTTGTTGTTGTTATGTGCCGTCAAAGTCAAGTCAGCCCTGACTCATAGCGACCCCTCCTTGGGTTTCCAAGGCAGTATCACTACGGAAGTAGGAATGCCCAACCTTCCTTCCAAGGAGTGGCTGGTGGGTTTGAACCGCCAGCCTTCTGGTTAGCAGTCAAGTGCCTTAGGCACTATGCTACCAGAGCTCCTATTGTTGTTGTTTTGTGCCGTCGAGTCGCTCCCGACTCATAGCGACCCCTCCTTGGGTTTCCGAGGCAGTATCACTACGGAAGTAGGATTGCCCAATCTTCCTTCCGAGGAGTGGCTGGTGGGTTTGAACCGCCAGCCTTCTGGTTAGCAGTCAAGTGCCTTAGGCACTATGCTACCAGAGCTCTGGTCTGGTAATCCCTTAATATATTATCACTTTGATGGTTTTACAACTTAAAAACGAAAACAACCATTTAAAAACCTTCATTTATCAAGACTTTACCAAAAAGTGAAAAGACAAACTACCAACTGAAGAATATCTTCAGAAACCATATATCTGATAAGAATCTAATAACCAAAACATAAATAAAATTTCAACAAATTAATGACAAAAAGACAAACTACCCAATTATAAAATGGACAAAGAATCTGAATAGACATCTCGTCAAAGAGGATATGGCACCAAATACATGAAAAGATGTGCAGTGTCATTAGCCGTCAAAGAGATGCTAATCAAAACCACAATAAGCACCATTTTAATCCACTAGGATGGTTGGTGGTGTAGTGCCTAAAGCATTTGACTGCTAAGCAGAAGGCTGGTAGTTCAAATCCACCAGCCACTCCTTGGAAGGAAGATTGGGAAATCTACTTCCGTAGAGATACCGCCTCAGAAACCCAAGGTGGGGTGGGTTGCTGTGAGTTGGGTTCGACTTGACAGCAGTGAATTTTTTTTTTTTTTTTTGTTTAGGGGGGTTTAAAAAAAAAAAAAAAAAAAAAAACCAAAAACTGAAAATAACAAATATTGGGAGAATGTGGGGAAACTCGAATCTTTCCATTTTTCAATTGGAAACTGAAATTTATCTATGGCTGGTGGCAAGGCAAAATGGTACACTATTGTGGAAAACAGTGTGGCATTTCTTCAAAAAACTAAAAATAACAGTACATATGACTCAGCATATCCTCTTCTAGGTATATACCAAAAAGATTTTAAAGGAGAGACAGAGACTCGTACACTAACGTTCACTGCAGCATTATTTACAATAGCAAAAAGGTGGAAACAACCAAAATGCCCATCAACTGATGAATGGATAAACATAATGTAGTACATAACTGCAAAAAGGACATGGAGGTGGCATCTTTGGACCTCCTCTAATGTCACGAGGGGGAGAGAGAATCACCCATCCACAACCCACGGCTTATTCCTATGAGGCCAGACAGGCCACTACCCATCAGCCTTTTTACCAATTCTGATACCAACTCTCCCTCCCACAGCACTCACTACTTCTCTGCTGGGTTCAATAATTCGTTGCAATGGCCACACACAATTCACAGACAACACTCACAATTATGGGGTTTATTAGGGAAGTAACAGGTTACAATTCAGGTCCAGGATACAATTCTTTGATCAGGACAGTCTCCCCTCTGCTATGCCCTCAGGCATGCCTTTCTGACCCTTGGCCTCTGCCCTGCTTGGGCAAGCATTACAAAGCTCTTTTAGCTCTGCTGATAGGTACACCTCGGTGCATCCCCCTCTGCAGCAAGCCTGCTGCTCCGGCTCGTGCCTCTTGGTTCCTGCTCCCAGTCATCTCTGCTGGTTGTCTCTGTCATTCATCTCTGCCAAAGAGGTCCAGTGCAGGGATCTTGGATCCCAGGATGCACTCCACACATGACATTGTGTCATTGGCTCTTCTCTCTTGATGGCAGTGAGATCCCCTCTTCCGCCTCTAAGAGGGCTCACTTTAAGGCTAGCAGAATGACAAAACTAACCAATCCCTACATTAGAGCTCCATACATGTTATTTTCCTGGTCTCACCCCCACAACGGTGCCATGTACCTTATTTATATTACTAACAAGCTATCTGAGGAGCTCTGGTAGCGTAGTGCCTAACGCACTTGACTGCTAACCAGAAGCCTGGCGGTTCAAACCCACCAGCCACTCCTTGGAAGGAAGGCTGGGCAATCTACTTCCGTAGTGATACTGCCTTGGAAACCCAAGGAGGGGTTGCTATAAGTCGGGTCTGACTAGACAGCACATAACAACAACAATAACAACAACAACAACAACAAGCTATCCAATCCCCTTATTGGGCCACAAAGCACCACACATTTGCAAAATTCCACCCAGTAATCTGGTAGGAGACTAAAGATCATGGCTAGAAGAGCCATACCAAGTAATTCACCGCACCACACACACATACAAGTCATATAAATCAGTCAATAGAAGAATAAAGTCTTGATACATGTTATAATATAAGTCAATCGTAAGAGGAGGATAAAAGACAAGAAAAAGCAAATTTATAGAGACCAAAGTTTATTACTGATTACTATGGATGGAAGGGAGGAGGAAAGCGAGTTAATGGTGATAGAGGTATCACATTAAGGTTAGGGCTGAACAAAACATTGTGTCATAGAAACATTTATAACAATGACCAAAAAAAAGAAAAAGAAAAGAACAAAACAAAACCAAAAAAAAAACTCAGAGCTGAAGCTGCTTATATGCAATCAATCTCATGAGATTTGGTTTCTTGGTTTCGAGGTTTAGGGTCATGGTTTCAAGGGACATTCAAGGTAATTAGTCTAAAAACATGTTTAGTGTTTCTGTTCTACTTCCTAGTTTATTGCATAGTGCTTGGGATCTTAAAATCTAGCAAACCACCATCCAAAGCACAATTGGTCTCTATCCACCTAGAATGAAAGAGGAAGAAGGAGAGTCAGAAATAGAAGGAGGATACAGAATGTGTGGTTCATTGCCTCCATGAACAGTTGCCTCCTTTGCCATGAGACCAGAAGAACTGGATGTGCCTGGCTACCATTATGGAACATTTTGATTAAAGATTCTATAGAAGAATGCTGGTGTAAAGGGTGAAAATGCAGAACAGAATTTTAAATTTTCATATACTCCAGACATCCTGGAACCATGAAAATTGGAAAAACTCCAGAAACTACTGTCCTGAGATAATCTTTAAACCTTAAACCAAAAATATCTCCTGGAATCTTCTTAAAACCAAGTAATAATTTAGCTTAACTAGTAAAAACTGTCTGCCTTCAGCATTATGCTCTTTTAAGAACTATATATATGGGATCAAACAGACAACAGCAACTTGAAAGATTAGATTGGAACCTCAGGGGATAGTCAGTTTATGTTAATGAGGGAGGAACAACTCAGAAAAGGAGAATGTTTACACAACTCCAAGAATGTCATCAGTGTCACTAAATGGTATGTTCAGCTTTTTGAATTGGTAGATATTTTTCTGTGTATATTTGCAATATTAATAATAAAATTATTTAAAAAAAAGACAGAAAAAAAAAATTTATCCAGCCATTGTTGTCTCTGGGTAAAATTATTTCAATTAATTTTTTTAAGAAACAGGAAATTTCTACGATTACAGAGATTTATAATAAGGACAAGCAAGTGATTTGCATGTTATGAAGAGGCAACCTGGGATGCAATTTACTTATTCACCCAACAAACATTGCTAGAAGCTCACTACCATGAGCCTGGCACTGGAGTAGGAGCTGGGATAAAAGATAATCTTTGCTGTCCAGGAGCTCTGTGGGAGTAATGAGTGCTACTAAAGATGATCTCCACAAGGGCCTCAGGGATTCACAGATAA